GGGTGGCGGGGAGGGGAAGGGGGAGGCAGCCGGGAGGACGTCCTTCCTCAAGGACTCGCCTAGCTGAGAGAGCCATTATTTTTCGGTAGGACCTCGCGGCAGACTACTTGCAGGCCTTCGGGTCGAAATGACTAAACCAGAACTTTTTGGTGTGGTTTGGCGAGTTTGTCGTGCGGTTGTTGCTGCTGCCGTTTCCGGAGCAGGTGATCCGAGCCATCTGACAGGACGCACGATCGCGGAACCAAAACGACTAGGCGAGGCGGTCGTCGTAGGGTGTAAGCGCGTGTTTCCTTGGGGCTTCACTTGGGTGCCTTATTGGAGCTCTTCTGAAACTGGAATACTGACACCACCGATTTCCTCTTACAATCTCACCAATTGACCAATTATCAACCAACAGATTGACCAACACACTTTGATTGACGACCCGCATTTATGTGATTTTTTTCTGCGACCAACATTGCTTTCTTGCTCCCACCCCCAGAACCCGCTTACTACTTCTGTTTTTCTCGCAGTGCGGTCACATCGCTGTCAGGACGCGACGGGGCGGTCGCGCGGGCCAGGGGCCGGCACTAGCGAGAGGGACGGGGGCTGCTGCTCAGCTGCTGCCGTCTCTGTCTAATTACCGACCCCGGCGCACGAGTGGGAGTGAGACGGCTGCAAGAGCACTGCTGCGGCTGCGAGGGCTGCGGGCTCCAGGTCCTGGCGGGACGGAGGCAGGACGGGGCGACAACGGCAACCGGTCAGCGGGTTTTGGCTTGGGCGTGGCACTTGACCGCAGCGGCGGTCCGAGCCGAGCCGGCCGGCCACACCGAGCCCGGCCGAGCCCTGCCACCGCCACCCCGCTGCTCCAGTTCTGGAGCCTCCAGCTGCTGCTCACCCAAAAACTCCGTCACGATCGTTGACTTTTTTTTGCAGTCATACCTACGCCCTGGTCTTGCTGTCCTCTACCCAAGCAAGGGAATCCCATATGCGCGACCTGCGCCCGCTTGCCCGTCCACCCCCACCCGCCCCCGCTCGCCAGCTCTTCCCCTGGACAGTTCACTTCCTCCCTTCCCCTTCTCGACCGTCGATAAAATATCCCGCCGCTCTGTTTTCAGGGAAACGTGCAGCTATGGTAATGAAACCTGTACCTTGTGTTGCAAGCAGGCGAATTTCTTTGGCGGGTGTGCGCTGCGAGTGTGAGCGTGTATGGTTGCTTGAGTTTGTGTGAGGTCTGCAGGCCTTTTTTTTACCGCTCTTTTTTTTCATGACGTATAAAATTGGTGGAGTTCCTGGCCCTCGAGGAGGGTTAAACGGGCGGGTGCGCAGAGACCGAGTTTACGACCCTAAATGACACAGTGAACGGGTAAGGCCCGCCGCCGGCCCGTCATGGCGAAAGCGAGATACCGAATCAAACAGACTTTTTGTCGGGGCGCTCGCGGTCACTAGCCACTCTATGCGGCACACTCACACTCACGCACACACACAGATACAAACACGCGGTCAGATTCGTGATGAATAAATTATAAATCTCGAGGAGAAGTGAACAAACAGAACTACGGCAAAGCGGTTCCACACATTTGCATCGGTGCCCCGCCCCGCCCCGCCCCGCCGCGGTGCCCTGGCCGGGGCCGGGCGGGTGGCCGGTGGCCGGTCTATGTCTTGTCGTCCAGCACCTCCCCTCTGGCAGTGACACGTAGTGAGAGCCCCCAGTTTACGAGACGGGGGCTCGTTCATAAATTAAAC